ATTATCTCGGAGACTACAAAAGCTAGGAAGCTGAAATTTAACGAGAATGTTTCCTGCCCGCGTGCAACCCCGTAAATTCAAAACCAGTGTTCAGTCAATCCTAGGTCTAAATTATGCCCCCGGGAAAGTATTGACGAGAAAAATTACTATATCGGAAGCCATAAAAGATTGGAAGCTGAAATTTTGGAAGAATGCGACCTCGCAGAATTAGATTCAGCTTTCATGTACGCCTGGGTCCCGAGCAGCCCGTGAAAGCTTTAGTATGGAAAATTATTATCTCGAGGACCAGAACAGCCATGAGGCTGAAATTTCAGGAGAATGTTTTCTGCCAGTACAGAAACATTACAAACTCAAACTTAGCTCCCAAGCATGCAGAGGTCTTACGTGCGACCACATGAGAGTTTTAATGCGAAAGTCACTAGCTCGAAAGCCGACAAACTGAGAGATTGAAATCTGGAAGATATCCCCCGTCCAGGATTTCAAAATCAACTTTCATGTGCCGGTACGTGAAATTTTTCGATACACTATCTAGCTTAGGAGCCAGATAGTGTATCGAATATTTTTTAACACAGGAAGTGTAAAGCAGTTGTAGTTTTAGCAGATAAACGTCCACTGGATGAACTGCGCAAAACGCATCATCGTGCGGCCACCCTAGCACACGCCGCCACTTGTTTAAGACATAAAAGATTTGGCCTCATAACTTGGTTCTGGCAGCATAGTCACAACGTACACTCCACCTCAGTTCTTACCTATAAGTAGGCTTCATATCGTTGTTCAACGAATAAATCAAAAAAGCATTGTGATAAAGTAAAAAGAAGTGCTTAATGTTTTGACGAACGCATCTACGATGAATCCAAAGTATCTTGGCCCGAAAACGTATAAATGCATCGATTCCCTGATACTTGTAGCTGTTTATTTTATAAAGTAAGTTAGGTTCATGGTACTAGAGAGAGGTTTCACCTTGTTACATATTACAGGTTCAAGGAGGCAGCTCAGTGATGCGCCTTCAGCTGCACTGATTCCCTTCATACATCCACTTCAGTTCATTTCAACAGTCTGGCACCCGCTTTCTCCCTCAGTGCTAATACCGCTGAATGTGAAAACGGAGGGGAAGCTTGTTTTGAAGCAGTCTAAAACAGAAAAGAGAGCTGTCGAGCGAAGCAAAATGAAATGAGCGACTTCATCCCCATCCCGAAAACGCAATTCGAGCATAAAATTTAAAATTTTACACACATTCGAGGGCATCTGCGTATCTGTATATGGCTATATCACTTTGCATCGTGCACGCTCCCTAGCATATACTTCTTTTCGCACAATATCCGGTAATT